CTGTCCAGCATAGTGCGTAATCCTATGAAGCTATGTATGCTAAGATTGGGAAGGGGCAGCTCTTGAGAGGCCTAGTGTACAGAAACCATAGAAGATGCCAAACAGTTTATCCAAGACAACCCATCCCAAACGTAAATAGGCATGTATAAATGGCAGAAAATCCAAATAACACTGGACAATACTGACTGCGACCAAATACCTGTAAGGGATATTGTTCAGGTGCCCCCCTATAAGTATGCCTGGAATGCCATGGGAAGAAGGAGAAAACCAGAAGTGACACCAGTCCTGCAGGTGGGGAGAGCTGATGTCCAAGTCTGGCAGAAGGATTAAGCCGGCCCACCCCGCAAAGGGATTTTGAACAAATTATGAAATGTAAATCTGAGATTTTACCACCCTCGGACAAGAGAGCACTTAACCCGCATTGATGTCTCAAAGCCCCTAGACCCTGCTTTTCTTTTTCTCTGCTCAATTAAGTGATCCAAGGCAAATGGAAGGAGAAAAAAGCTTGAGAACCTTCAGCCTGATTACTTGCTCCTGTGTGCCAAGAGCTGCTGTTCTGTATTGTGACCAATGGCAGGTCGCACTGTAATCTGGTGTTGAGAGTAAATATGCAGGTGTAAGGAGTTTTGGGGGGGAAGTGAACTGGAGGTCAAGGAAGTAGAAGTCTGTTGCAGTACACCTCTTACAGCATAACCTAGGCAAATACCTTGAAATAACACAGTTGGACAGGCCTTGCCACTGCCTCACTGTACCCAGTGAGACTGGCCAGTGTAAGAAGCACCTGGTGGCCATGCTATATCATGGATGTGTAGACTAACTTATTGTGACGTCTCTAATCTCTTAAAGATATATTTTCCTGATAAAGTGCATCTCTAGTCTATTATAGAAAATTCAACTTGCTCTTATGCAATTTTCTTGGTCATTAGCTGTAAAGGTCAAACCTTTTGACATTAAAACTTGTTCTCTGTTGCCAGTTTTTATTCTTCTCTCCCCTGTCCCTGTTGGCTGAATCAGTTTTGACCCCTTTCTACTCTCTTTTTCACTGTCTGCAGCCATAAAGCAGAAATCATAGCAACTCCTAATACTATTTCCCTTTATTCAGTTTGATTGCAGCATGAATACTGATAAGACTACATTTGTTCAATAAAATTTGATGTTGGTCTGTCGCGCAATTAGCCAGCTGCCAGGAGGCAGGGGATAAGTTGGTTATGAAATATTGACCCTGTGTCTTATATAATTGGTCTATTATCAATAATCATCACTTTGCCACCATTTCCTTCCTTTGGGAAATTTATATCTCAGCTATTTTTTTTTACCCCCATTCAAAATGATAAAAAAAATGAGCAGCAAACATGAACATAAATCTAGGCTAGACAATTATGAATGGTGGCAAAGTTTTTTGTAGAGAAAACCCCAATCTTTAGTTGGCACACAACCGCAGGCAAACTCATTGATGTGGCTGGCTTGGTCTGACCAAAAAGCGTACCAGATAGAAAAACCAGGCAAAAGAAACCTAATCCCACTTTTAATCTGTCTGAGATCTTTTGACTGTATTGACCTTTTCATCAGTGCCACTATCTGGCTGAAAAGCCCCAAGATTGCCTATGTTTAGCCTGTATTGGCCAGCCTATAAAATAAATGGGCAATAAATTGAAAACTTGCACCGAGTTTTTATGTCATAAAATGTTCTGTTTGCATATACGTGATATGTGTTATATTTATGAAGATTGGGTCTGGTTTCATACATGGATGAAGTGATCAGAACACACACATACCCCTGTCTTTTCTATTTCTTCTACAAATGTGAAGCTCTATTTTATGAATGACAGGCGGTAAACTATAGAGTGACTTGCAAAAAGTACACCATCGGCTATCATATTCAATTTTATACTTCCGATGGCGTTTTCTTTTCTCATATCCCACAGTTAGGTAACTTGTGGTGTCGCCAAGCTTTTTATGACGTAGATGCCTTGTTTAATTTTTTGATTGAAAATATCTTCATTTCCTCCTATGGGAAATTATTGTTTCTTACTACAAACTCTGAGATGATGTTTCACCTTTATGTGGTAATGTGAGACTGTTTTTCATTGGCTTTGTTCAAATTGAAGTGTGCATACACAGCACTGAACATATTTTCAACTGCGGAATGTGTTGAACAACTTTGTCAAATTTACATAAAAGGCGGGGTTATGCTCCTTCAATTTATTTTACTGTGACCCTTCCAACTTTTCCAACTGAACAATGAATGGGTTGAATGGGAAGAAGTCAAAATTTTCCCTGTGCTGTTGTAATAACCTGAATTCCAGACTAAATTTCTTGTGAACATTATTATTATTAAACCCGTTCATTATTCACTATTAAGTGACTTCAAAAATGTCTTTATCTCCACAATTTTGAGGCCTGCCCAGCTTTAGAGTAATTTTCATTTTTCGTGCATCTTCCACAGTTGCCTTGTTATTTGTAGACCCTCCCAGCAACTGTACTCAAACAAACACTTTTTTAATACCTACTAAATAATCTTTATCAAAACATTTACCTTTAAAGTCAGAAATAGGTGCATGACTCTTGCTTGCCCCTAAATAATGTGCAGAGTTGATAAACGAGCCACGGGAGATTTGGTTCGGACATTTCATCATCAAATGGACCATTAGTCGAATGTTTTCTGAAAACAGAGTTTTGAGCAGTCTGATACTGCAAACATATCCATGCTGGAATATTATCCCCAGGGGAATTGATGATAGACCTTGGGGTATTGAGATGTGGCCTTGGGGATATTGGCCCTGGTTGCTTAGTCTCAGTAGATGGATAAAGATGTTAGAAGATGTGAAATGCTTGACATCTGCTGAGAAAAAATAACACTTTTTAGTTGCAGACATCAAGAACAGTACTTTTTTAATTATTTAAAAAAAATTTCATAGATTGTGTTTTATGGACTGTAGCCACAGAAGAAAAGTTTTACATTGTACAAATAGTAATAATAAAGCAGTATTACAGGCCTTCCCAACTACCAGACTCGGCACCTAAGGATCCTGAATTAACCGGTATATCGGACCACGCTACCCGTTTTCAAGGTGTGTGTCAGATCGCATTTCGGAGTATCATACCCCAGAACAAATTTTGTAGCACGACTGCGGGCTCATCCACGCTCGGCTGAACAACCTTAAACTGTACTCTTACTTTAGAGTTCTCTATTTTATTGTCTCTATGGGGATATATGGGGACTTTACGACATTCGGTTTGAATGTTTTAACCACTTTTGATAGGGTTTTTTTGCATTGCATTAGATTAATGTGGCAGTCTAAGGTGCATCTAGGTGGCTTTCAAATTTATGCACCCGGTTTTAAAATCATATGGCGATTTTACGACAACCGTTTACTATCCAATCAAGGTGACAGCCGAGCATGCCAGGGCTCATCCTGTCGGTGTTCTGGCTGATACTCCGAAATGCGATCTGACACACACCTTGAAAACGGGTAGTGTGGTCCGATATACCGGTTAATTCAGGATCCTTAGGTGCCGAGTCTGGTAGTTGGGTAGGCCTGTATTAGTACTGAGGAAAACTACATTTTACTGAATTTAACTGTCAACAGACAAAAAAAAAAGTAAACACTTAAGCCTCACTACCTGAATATTGACTGAAAAGCATTTTGTAGTTTATTGAAAATTTCACCAGAAATCAGTTCAAAGCTTTGAAATGCCAAATGAATAAAATCACTGTTGAATATAAAACAGTAGGATACTATATTTTCAATATTTTGTTGCTAATGAACATGTGGTGTTTGTTATGGTTATGACATGAAACCTTCAAAAATAGGTGTTAAAATTAAGATCAAAGTGTCAATATGCCAAGAACAGCACCTCCATTAAAGAAAGCAGTGATGAAGAAAATAATGCCAGACATTCTTCAGTGCACTAATCACATGTGTAAGGAAAGACTGGCCCTTATTTACAGCAGTTTGTTAGTGTAAAAGGCTGTCATTATAAATCAATATCTCCCCAATGCATCTTACATGATATTGCTCTCAAGCCTTGCCCCTTGCCATTCATCTTTGAAGAACCTTCAAATTTGATTTCAATTAAGACTTCATCACAAGCCATCCGTCTCCAGGCTTTGTCAGTCTAGAAAGTGACTGGCTGATATACAATGGGCCAAATTATCTGCCACTCTGCAGTGACGTCTTATTGGCTGCAATGACAGATTAGTTATAATGGCATACATTTGCCATCAAAGTGCAATAACTTTCAGACTTGACTGATACAAGCAGAGAGCTCTCAGCAAGTGAGGGTAATGGACAGCAGCTCCTGTTTTGAAAAATAAATTGGTTATTTCCATTTTATGATGGAGCCCACCCTTATGTTATCCTATTAAAGGAACAAATGGGAATATCTTGTGTTGTGACATAAACCGAGCACTGCGGACCACACAGGGTTCGAGGGAAGAAGTTGTGCTGAATGTGATCAATTCTGCCTATTTTGATAACGTCTGCAGAAATAAATGTGATCAATTTGACCCCTAAGTATCTGTAGTGTTCCCTTTATCAGTTTAATCAGGCCTATTTATCAAGTTCAACAAAACGTTTAAACAACTTTTCGCCACTTCATTAAGACCTGGTTGAGGGGAATGCAAAGTAAACGTGGTTATATTTTCTTACTCTGTGCAAACACATGTCTGGACAATTATGCAAAGAAAATGGAAGGAAAATATCCATGATTACAAGAACTTGATGACTATATTGTAATTTACATACATGTACATTGAGCAGATTGGCATTGTAACAGGGTGTTTTCATTGAAGAAAATTAGCTACTTAAGTGATAAAAACAGTACTTTGGATAAATGTGTCATCTTTAACTTTTGAATGACAAGATTTTACACAGATAATCATATCATTGACACATCTAATCATAGTCCTTTTTGATTTGCTTAAAGCATTTTGTGGATTGTATACCTTTTCCTTCCTCCTGTTGACCACTCTGTTGTATATGTATTCCAGGATGGCCGCCTTGCACCAAGCAGCTCTGGTGGGCAGCAATGAGATCATGAGGCTGCTTCTGGACGGAGGAGCTGCTGTGGACATCAAGGATAACAAAGGTACAATACAAGGCAGATGATATGGTCTGGGAATTGTTTCTGTTAAATTTTTCCTAATTTTCCCACTGGAAATGTCAATGATGTATTAAATTTTTTGTTATGAGTTTTCATTATTTCTAGATAGAATTGTTTTGAAGGCAATAAAGGTCTGCATATTGGTAACATGAATATAGTCCAAGTGCTTGTCTGATTTTCAGAGACTTAAAAAAATTACTATCTGTAGAAAATAATTTTTTTGGTATTGAAAAAATATTTTTTTGATGATTTACCACCTTTTGGTATCAATGTCACAGCAAACATTTCTTTCACAGAAGTAACATTTTTTTTGCTGAAAAATGGTTCAGTATTTGCTAGGCCAAAGATTAAGTGCAGATGTTGTCTATTTGCAGGCATGCGTCCTCTCCACTATGCCTCCTGGCAAGGCAAGGTAGAGCCAGTACAGATTCTGCTCCAGTATGGGGCAAATACCAATGATGCTGCAGAGAATGGGGAATCCCCACTGCATTTAGCTTGCCAGCATGGTCATTATGAAGTGGTGAGTAAAAAAAAACATATATATGGACACAAAAAAAACTTTTAAGTCATATTGCATAATAGAAAGCACCAGGTTGGCACTTCTTTTATCTGTTGTAAACATGCATACATCTTTTGAAAACAGATTCACATTTACGGTGACAGGGATTTATGCCCAAGTCTTGTAAATGACATGCTTTTCAACTATTTTGTCTGGGTTGTTGGCTTTGTAAGGTTTTTTAGATAAGGGCATAGATCTCAGATTTCTATACGTAATAGAATAAATGAAAAAGTTTGGGCTCATTTACGTAATTGGAAAATGAAAAAGAGGGTGATATGTGGGCTCATTTATAGATTTTTTGAAATTATGAAAAATGAAATGTGCACATGAAAAATGCATCATCATAACTACAGTAGGAATGGAAGCATTCATATTATTCTAGAAGAGAATAGTGGTGCGTGGTAGTGGCACTCCCCAGCAACAAAATGAGGTTGCATTTTTCATGTAAACAGTTCATTTTTCATTCTTTTCTCATTTTTTTCTATGAAAATCATGTTAATGAACATGGATATCAATCCCTCTAATGTATTCTGTTACATCTATTCAGATTTTCTGTAGAATCTGGTTTTTCATGCCGGTGAGTTCCATTCAGCTAAATCAGGGTAGGGAATTCCGCCCTGCCTTAATCACCAAGATTAAAATGGCGCAATCACCAATCGCCAATAATTTCTGAATCAGGTTTCACGCAGAATATTAGCCTCAAATAACGCATCACGCTCGAAAAATTAGGCCAATCTCGCGGAACGCAAAAGATGTTCCCTACCCTCTTAAATCCCAGTCAGATCCCACCTGTGCCTTGGCAGACCATTGTCAGTCCAAGTCCTCCAGTAATGGATCAACTGCTTGCATGCAACAGCGCTTACCACATATTACAAAAATTTCTAGCTGACAGATTTTGAATTTGATGTACACAGACTATGAGTGTGACAGTGGGGGCTGTGCAGCTGCCCCCGTGTGGAGGGTAAGGATGTGACCTCTGTCTGTTGTGACGGCGTACCATCTCTCTCTTTCTGAATGTCTACACGCAGTGTCAGGGCGGGTGCTTCCAAGTTGTCAGAGCACTCAAATTTTTGTTTGACTAAAAACTCTGGTCACGAGGTCATTCTTTTGATGGGGAAGGCTTTTATTTATAGCTCTGTTTTGTTATGTTAAACAGTCTGGTTCTCATTGAATTAAAAGAAACCCTGGCATTGGAAATGACTTATTCTGTCTCCGCCATGTGGGTGCCTTATGGATAAATTGATGCTGTGATAAAAGAAAGGGATTGTTTTACTAATCTTAATCTTTTATTCCTGGATGCAGCATGTGTTTTTAGAGTCTCAGCAAATTGTTTCCTTTGCTTAGTGATAAAATTTTATAAATATTTTCACACCATGATGAGGCACATTTTCAAATCAGTTACAAGGGTACCTTAGACAGGGGCGGATCCAGAGATATTTTCTGAGAGTCTTCCAAATTATCTTTGTTGATCCATCCTCCATTTTTGACCATCTTCTGACAGAAAAAATAGATACCTGTCAATGTAAACTTGAAAATCTGACCGTCTTCCGGAAGACCCAGAAGACGGCCTTAATCCGCCCCTGTTAGATATGTAGCCTGCAAATTGCCAAAAAACCATGGACATGCAAGCTGATAGTGAATTCAGGTGTTTGTATTTGGTTTTTGTAGTTTTCTTATGGAACTTAGTGCCATTAGTGATAAAATATTTGTTTTGGTGATAATAAACAGACCTGGGTCCAACTGCTGTTATATATATATATACAAGTGTAGTTTGTTCACTCACACTGGTCTACACGGTACCACATGTTCCGTACTCCTTATTGATACGCATCTTTGAAAATAACTGTGACCAGCATCAGAAGTTTTTAGAGCTGGCCCTGGAAAATTCACCAACTAAGTAGCAAAAGAGATAATGAATTGTATATCTGAAGTCCATTGACATTTTTCTTTGTAGATTAAAAGCAAAATATGAATGATTTTAATAACAGCTGCCATGGCACCCTTCCTGAAGTATCTGCAATCAGCTTTCCTTTCATCTTACAGTTGCATCAGGATGAATGAAGTTGTGCTTTTAATGAAATGGCTTTTTGAGTACTTGAAAGTCCTAAATTAGGCTGAACCATGTAGACACCCCCTCCTAAGTCAGTTAGACCCTACTCCAATACCTAGATCGATCTAGCAGGATCAACCCATCTCCGTGGGGTTTCATGCTTAATTGCATTATGCTACAGCAGCCCTAATGTCTGGCATGCCTAATAAACCTGTTAGGAGATAATTTACTATTGTTTAGCAGCTTCAGTAGGCATGCCAGATATCTAAGCTGCTTAAGCTGATTGCAATTTAGTAAGAATCTACTCAGAGATAGGTCGATCTTGCTAGATCCATCTAGGTATGGGGATGGGGGTCTTAGACCTCATTCCCAGAGATAAGATCGATCCAACTAGATCGACCTAACTCCCTGGGGGTTCATGCTAAATAGCTAACAGCCAAGCGGGTGCGAAAGTTAATTACCCCCTTACAACTTGTAGTAAGCGGGACGGACATTTAAGCCGGATTATCTGACAGTAATCTAGTGAGACTCCCCACGGGGATAGATCGATCTAAAATCCATGGGAATGAGCCCTTAGACTGAGGCAAGTTCACTTTAAAAAAAAAGTAAGATAAAACAGGATTGCTTGAACATTAGTCTCCTTGAGTGTGTCTTATTGTAATGACTAACAGCAGCACTGGGTATTTTTTTTTCTTGGCAGTTTTACTTTGCTGCTCCAACTTCTGCTGCTGAAGTGCATGTATTGTCTTGTTTATACATGAGACCATTTCATACATATGTCCAAACCACATTTCTCAAGAATGTGTTGATTCTGTGTGCTCATTGTGGCTTTTTGGTTGAAACAAATAAAACACAAGTTGAACATAAAAAGTTTGTTTTACCCATGGCAGGTCTCTTAATGTTGTTTTCTTTCTCACTGCCTTGGTTCATTGTAGGATAAAATTGCATGTGCCCCCAAACTCAAGTTCAACACATGTCAGACACATGGTGGATAAACCAGTTTAAATTTGAGTTTTTTTTTTCTTTCTTTTGAAGTTTGTCTTGTCAAGCTCTGTCAAGCTCTGTCTTTTTTGTATCATTGCAGTTTTGTGGTTATTTTTCTGTGATGGACTTCATTCCAAGCCATCTACAGCTTACTTCAAGATGAGATGTTAAAATGTGGGAACAACTGTCATCATGTCTGCCTCCTGCTGTCCTCTCTCCCCCCCTTCCCAAACAGGGCTGACGTGTCCCATATGACTCACTCGTCCCCTGTAGACCCTTTTGTATTCACAGCACACTAGCTGGGGTGCCATCTGCACAAGATGGAGATCAAGTTATGGAGCATTACACTCTATTTCTTTTCACTCAGAAAACACTTAAGAGATCTCATTTCAAGGCACAACCTTCACTAGTAAAGCTTCATTCAGATTTTCACTCCACTGCTGTTCACAGAAAGTCATTGACTTGCTTTCTCAGTATGTAGACACCAGTGTGGTCTACCGAGGCTCTATTTCCCTGATTGATCATAAGGTTACTGGGTAGAGAGCTGTCATGGCTCACTTTAAGTAATTGCCTAAATGGAAGCTAGCATGTAATAATGATGTCATGCTTGACTGGTACCTAGTTCTGTCCTGGGGCACCACTCTGGAATCTTTCAGGTCTGTCCTGTCCTAAGGCCCCATTCCCAATGACATTATCGGTCTACGTAGATCAGCCCAACTATGTAGAGACTCTTGCTGAGTGGAATCGGCTGAATTGAGTGACACGCCTCCTCCTGGCTTGAGTAAAATTCAGAAAAGTTGGTGATTATATGGGTATGCTGGAAATAGGTGTTTTATTCAGTTAAATTGATTGCACTAGGCAAGATTACCTGCAAAGTTTGATCAAGCTATGTAGACCAATGGTATCTATAGGAATGGGGTCTTAGTCACAGATATATATATATATATATATAACAGGCATCCATCATGTCAACAAGTCATTTGCACTCAGGTACATTAGCCTGGTTGGTTGTATTGGATATACTGTCTAGTGTCATTATAAATAAGGTGATTTATCTCTTAGCTTAGGCATCATAGTGGAAGTAAATCTTGTCTTTTCATGGGGAGGGGGGCATTTAATATTTTTATATTCGGTAGTTTTACTAGAGGCGCTGCACTAAAGTAACCAGTGCAGGGAATAGTCCAGATGACATCATCGAAGAATTTTATGCAATAGTGGCAAATCACATCTTAATTGCCATCTTGTGCAATATTACAATCTTGTTGGTTGCACTATTTCCAATATATTTATATCTAGTTTTCTACTCTGTCTAAATGTATTTTTCTAATCACGAATCAAGTTAAGCCGCCCTAAGTCTGTATAGCATGACTGATCTCAGAAGATGGCTTTCAATTAAAATAAGGTCACCATTGGGAGCAAATCTAATATCCTTGTCATAAGAGTTGTCTGCTTATGGCGAGGAAATTAGAATTGTATGGCACTGCGAGATGGGTCATTCTGTGTTTGGTTGAGTTGAGTGGAAACACAACTTTCAATGTAACCAGTCAGTCAGGCTGTCTGCCTCCATCCTTTATCTTCACCTTCACACTGTATTAACAAGGACTGTGACACATCCTTCCAACCCGGGTGCTCTCTCTCTATTGACAACACTGTATACAACACAGACAGTGGAGACAACAGTGAGCTTGTTAGGGGCCATTAGTCCTGGTAACCCAACCTCACACAGCAGACTCTGAATATGAATCAGAATATTCTTACTGTCCTTGCTGTGCTGTCATTTGATTCCATTCCTAATTGTTTTGGCTTTGTTTGAGAACATTTCAAATTCCTACCACCAACTCAAGGCTGTCATTTGTTACTCCAGGTTGAATTTAGTGCTCTTGATCTAATATCTCCTTTCTTAACCTTCAGTGCCATTGGATACCTCTTTTGAAAATAGCATAATTTTGTATGGTTGACTTATCATGGACCCTGTCAAAGACACCCAAATTTTTGTAATACAAATAAGCCAAAATAGGGATTGTCATAGTAAAAATATATCCATGTAAACATCAATTTAATTATAAGTTTTATTCCTTCTTCCTCTGCAGGTGAATCTCCTGTTGCAGCACCATGCTGATCCCACACTGAGGAACAAGGAGCACAAGACCCCCCTGGACCTGGCTTGTGAATTTGGCAGATATCGGGTAAGGTTTCTCATTATTCCATACACATTTTATCGATGAATCTAACGAGTTCTAAAAATTGCCTGTCTGATTAGTAATAATGTTGTTGTAGGAAGAAAAAAATGTACAAGTTGGGTAAAATGCATTGTGGCAAGCACTGTTGCCTGGAGGTGTGCCTATTCACCTGATTTACATTAATGAACCTTACAAGAGAGATGCATTTCCTGATTGCTAGGATATTGATTGTGCTTGGGTTGAAATAGAAAGTCAATGGAGTGAAAGTAGAAGGAGAAGTTACAGTATGATACAGTGGTCACTTGGCACCTTATATTTATAAAGAGTGCTGTCTACAGTTTGGCTGATGTATTTCCTTCAGCATCAACCTTATTTGTAGTTCAAAATAATTTTCCTGGAGCAAGTTGAGTTTTGTGGGGGAACAAGTTAGTAGATTGGGTGTGTGGTCCTGTCATGTACAATGTACTTAGAACCAGAGGTCCTCCTGTCTCCCGGTTCCCTACCACACTACATTGGCACCTAGTGTTGACACAATATGTCATGTCAGTGTGTCATGTTGTGCACAGATATTGGAGAGAGAGAGAGCACATCTTGTATATCATACTTCATGACAGACATGGCATGGCAAGACTGCCTTTTACTGGTAGCTTGTCAGCATGCTTACACTAACCTAGCCCAAGCAGAACATGTTTAGATTAGCAAAATCATCGAGTCATCAACTTCTCTTCTCCTCATCAATAAGACACAGGTTGCCTTTTCATTTGGCCATATCACTTCTTGCTGAGTAACATACATCTGTGATCTGAGGTTGTGAAGAGTACACACAATACAATGGTAAGAAATGTAACTTGCATAACTTCACCTCCAGGGGGAGCTGCAGGAATTTTGATGCTGTTTGGTTTGTGAGATCTTACAAAAACACAGAGGTGAATGAGATCTTACAAAAACACAGAGGTGAATACCAGTTAGTTAAATTACCAAATTATAGAGATGGATAGGATTTACCTTGTATTTGTAATTGTTCAGGTAATGGTGGTAATCTGATGGTTATATCACTTCAAAGCTAACAGGGGTATGGGAAGGTGGGAGACTCCTGAGCCATCTGTGAAAAATAATAATACTAATTGGATAATATCCAACCTTACTGAACAGCATATCAGAACATAAGCCCACTTTTGAAGTTCACAAATCTGTTGTGGAATACGTTTTTCAAAACTCATTCTTTACAGAATTTCTAGAAGGCTAAGTGAAGTGTGCTACTACAGTAACAAAGCCAAAAAAAAAGATCAAAAATAGCATTTTTAACTTGCAATTATAACCTTCAAGGACCCTGTAGCCATAGATCTGAATGAACCAGGGTGAAATAAAAACTGCCTGACATTTGCACAGTGATTAGCGAAGTATTTATCTGTGCTTTTGCTGGTAATAGATATACGGGAGAGGGTGCGAGGCACACCCGATAAGGTGGCCGTAGTTGGTCTCTTCACCAGCACCTCCTCACAGAGGCTGACTTTGATCTCGGTCAAAATAACATACTGAAAACATCTGCCAGAAGTAGAGCTGATAAAAAAAAGTGAGGTCACTGTGAACCACTCTCAAAGTAATTTTCTCAGAAAACGTGGAGTGAAAGTCTTAAGATTTTTACTTGCACTTTGCAGTTCTTTAATCTGGGTTGTCCGTTTGATGCCTGGTTTATCACTTTTATTATAATAGCCAAAAAAGGGAGAGTATGTCTTCTGTATAGATTCAGAATGAACTGTAATATCAGCTTCATAGCATGCTTTTATGATTTAAAATACTGAAAATTATTCTGTTATTGCACGTGTGCATTATATATGACAAGAGACAGGCAGTTTAAATCACAGCTGTTTTTGATTATGCAAGTTGATGGAATGTGAAATTACTGTTACAAGATAGATATGTATTTATCAATATAATAAATGTTGCACTATACAAAGGTAACAGAAGCAAGGCAACTGTGACTTTTCTGTCAACATACTGATGGGGGATACTAATTGTGAACCACTCATTGTGACTTCACAGTCAAATCGATCTGGTTTTAAGTCAAGTGACAGTGAAACTTACAATGAGAATTTTTTAAAATTCACTAAAAGGCTAACATTGCAGTTTGAAATCTGGTAATTTCATAGCTAAGCCTCCTGCAGATACCGTGTGTTATGTCAAGTTGTGTTTCACGCTGAACTGACTCCTAGATATAACATTGCTAAATATGTAATCACTTACTCAGCGTGGTGTAATCAGTGAGACGCAAGAGTAGCTTCCCGCGCCCCAGGAAAGAAATCGGCTGTAAAAAGGAAGAAAAGAGAGAAAAACACTTGGATATAGAGGAGGAGGAGAAAGAAACTGTCTGACAAATGTGGAATCTCTTATGGACTGAGAAGATTTCTGTTATTTGCCACAATTCAGTATAAATAAAACATACCTTCAGGGGTCAAAATAGTGCAGTATTGGTATATAAGTGGAATAGCCTTTTGTAGAATAAATTCTTTGCAAAGATGTTATCCCACATACTTGACTGTCACAGTTGTTGTCTAATTATTGGGTGTGGAGTGATGTTTCCAAGGCTTCTCAATGAAGGGTTATAGGTCTGCAGCAGCTGAGTTGATTAAAAACCATTTTAATGAATTTCTCCATTTAATCAAGGACAGTAAAAGTGGATTTTAAAGAGCTGGAAAAAAAACTAGATAACATTTTGTGTTGGTGGTACCATGGTAGTTATATTGGTGGTATTTTGGTGGTATTAAGCTATAATTGGATATTGAAGTGAGAAAGATGTACTTGTTAATGTATTACTTTTTATTTGACAGCCAACAGACAATCTCGAAATGTTAACAACTTCACCCCAGTAAAAAACCAAAATCCAAGGTTATTTTAGACATTTAGTACGTGATTAATATTTTTTTCTGCTGTAATGTCAGGACACAGGTTCAACATTAGATTAACGTCATGGGGAAATGGTATGCTAGACCATTATTTCCATATAATTGCTATTTGTGTGAAAAATTATGTGGATAGATCAAAAATGATTTGTTGTGAAACTCACCATTATCCTCATTATTGGTGTTAAGTTTTAGTTCTGCACTTTCAAGATCATTTATTGTGAGCCCACATTCCTTGTAATAGACAGTATTGAGCTGTTCACAGTCAAATGTGGCACATTACCCATAGCAGGAACAGACACGGGGTTACCATCTGAAGGATATATTAATGAATATGAACACATGTTGGATATCAGAATGACCTTTGATAGAATGGATTTACTGATGTATATATCAGTCAGATAAAAGCTTTCTCACAGGAAGGAAAGCAAGCATGCTATCTTATTATATCTGTGTGTGAACAGAGCTCATGAGAATGGTCACACATGAAGTTCATGAGAACACCACCAGGGGACAGGTAGAGGGTGATTGTGTTCAGCAAGCCTTGAGCTCACCTACTGCAATGCGCTAGAAATAGAAATGAACGGTATCCTATCTAATGCACTGGGCAGTTACCACAAGTACACTGGCTCTTGCTTGTTGTGTTTGTGTGTTTTTACTCTAATTTTTGATGAGAGAAAAATTGAGAATCAAGTAACATATGTACAGTGAATTGTTTGAGGCTTAAGTATGCCCAGTAATTCACAGTTCAGGAACTTTTTTGACCAATGAATTGCTTGCTTCACACTTAATTTCATCTTTGATAAACTTTTCAAGGAAAAAAAGGAATAAATGAAAAAAATGAATGGGAAATTAAACAGTGCGGAATGTGGACTGATTCCATATCCTTCTTTTTTTTATGAAGGTTTGATTTATTACATGCTTTATGAAGTACTTCTGCTGGGGGATTAGGATCAGAGGCTTTTTTATATTTTATGTAGGAAGTTTGAGTGCATTGGCTATGGTTTTGAGGACATATAATGGCATATGACATTTGCATGGTTAGTGTTAGCAACATAAGAGGAAACAATATGTAATTTTCTTCCTGCATGCTGTTTTGTCTCTGAAGCAAGTCACTTACTGCTGAGACAGGCGAAGTATTGTTCTTGGCAGACTTTACTGCTGCATATTACAGTTTTTTAAAATAAGGTCTCCTTAAGGATAAAAAATATATTATTTATGTATTCACATGAAGGGTACAAATACTATCTTTTATAACTGTTGTGATATTTGTGTGTTCCAGGTAGCAGAGCTGCTGATAGACAGTAACCTGTGTAACTGCCTGCTGATGGAAACTCCTGAAGACATGCTGGACAATACGCGGACTACAGGACTCCATCTGGCCGCTAAAAACGGGCACGGGGACATCATTAGGTAAGCAGAAGGTGCCCGTGTTAGCACCAAAGTAACCATTGTGTCGCATGGGAAGTCATAAATTTCATTGGTGTGGAGGTCAAAGAAACTGTTAACTGGAGAATGATTAATGGCTCCGTGAACTATACACCCAGTCATGTGAAAAGGAACAAACAATTGAAGATCTAAAAAAACCGAAGGTAGGTGGCTGTGATTTTGATCTGTGTGGACCTTTTTGTATGTAAATGAGGTTACCAGACACTGACTTGTTGGACTGGACTGGACTAGAGTGGACAAAAGGTGGAGCCACAGGTATTTCTGCTATTGACTAGTTTATTTTCACAGGTGATAGAAACCAGGGATATTTGTCTATTGGAGGAGGGCTGCAGGTATTCCTCATAAAAAAAGTTGGCTTCTGTTTGGGATCAATTGAAGCAAATATACTGTCTATTTTTACAAGTGATCTGAAGTACAAATTTGGTTTTCTTGTTCTTTAGTCAAGCAGACTGGCAGTCTGTCTATCTGTCTATCTGTCTGTCTGTCTGTTGGTATGGTTTGTTGTCCATTTATCTGTCCTTATGTAAACAGGTATCATGGAATCTAGAAACTGCTTACAGTGTGAAATCATAGATTTGTGTTAGTTATTTGGCATTGCCTTTCAAAGGAACATCTGTCTGGAGGGTACATTCCAGTCTGAGTTAATTTATTCCTCCGATTCCAAGATTTGGTTTGTTTTTTCTGCGTCCATACACTATGTTGGCTCTCATTTGAAGATATAAAGAATGTGAGAAGGCTACTTGATAAGTTGTCAAACTTAAAGGATTGTCAAATTCTTGCAAAATTTAAAAGATGATAAGCAGCATATAGTGTACTTACGTACTTACATGGTAAAACAACATTTTGTATTCCTTGTGTGACATATGCAGTATTCAAAAACACGCAAATATGGATAACTTTCCTTTAAAGTCCACATTGCAGTAAACCAGTTATAAGTTCTTCTCTGTTAAAGGTGAACATGAATATTGTACCCCCTTAGGTAACAAAAATATATGCCATCACTCTTTGGTCTGTGAATGGCTTCATCTTTGCCAATGAGAAGTCATGCTCTGGGTACAAAAGATGTGCACTGTTCTAGCCTCAAACCTTTTTTATCATAGCAGCACAGAGGGCCTCCTCCTCATTCACAGGTAAAAGGTTGAAAGGTGAGTTTTATAGAGAGAAAGTTAAAAATAACTGATATATTACGGCAGTTAAGTTGGCCTGTCCCGTGTTAAGCTGCCTGTGGTGTATAGATATGGGTGCCTTCACCTGAGCTTCTTCTGGACTCACATCTGGGGTAAGTACCCCGTCCGTGCCATAGAAACCACTCTGCCTGACCACCTGGACGTTAAGGAGGAATTTATATTCCAGGAACCGAGATAAAAACAAGTGTTTGTGAATTTGAAAGCTGGCCTACCAGGTACAGCTGTAATTTTGGAAGAAGCAGTGGGCTATGAAAGCATTAGGCCCATGTGTGGGAAGTTGATAGCAGTTATATGTCCAATACTGTTGGGAGTAATTGTGTAAAAAGCTTTCATGTTTTGTACCTGTTATAATACTATATTTCTTATCATTTCACTCCACTCATCACAAGAGGCCCAGGTTACCCACTGTGCATTTGTCAGAGAAGTTGGAATATTGTCAGAGTATCTCAGTTTAGCTTCCCCTGATTGCTTATTGTATACAGAGAATGAAGATGTTTATTGGAGGTGTGCTTTAGTTGCGTAATAAAATTCTGTGTCATCTCAGAGATGATTGTTCCTGAACAACTGTGTTGTTTCCACACTAAACAAGACACCTGTAGTGACAATACCACATTGTGGGCCACTCCATGTGATCAGGTGGACCATCAGAAATGTGTTCTTACGTGAAGTGGAGGGAATTTTGTTTTCATTTTCAGCACACTTCATAACATTCAGTGAAAGAACCGGGGGAAGTGTTACGCACCTTGGTATGTTGTATACAAAGCTGCATATCTGTAGTTTGACAACAGAGCTGCTGAATGCAACTTGTGTAACAGGAGAGATGGTAACTTGTCTACTATTGTGTTGGTATTTTCCAGACTCCTCCTTCAAGCTGGGGTGGATATTAACAGACAGACCCTACAAGGGACTTGTCTACATGAGGCTGCATTGTACGGGAAGATAGAAGTTGTGAAACTGCTGCTAGATGTAAGTACAAGCTTTTTAGCTTTCTACAAAGAGAGCATTTCATTGTTGTTTAAATATTATTGTGTTTTGTCATGCAAAATGTGTAGATGTGGGTAAACCTCTTGTATATAAACATGAACTGTATGATTTTACTGGAAAAATATTTGTTTTGTTGTCATAAAAATTGCATTTAGTAATATCTTGAATTTATGAATTAAAAGTGATAAGTTACAACTGGACACAAAATTAGATATACAAAATACATGGTCTAGTAGTTTTAGTAAACAAGTGTTTTTCTAATTTTTATTTTATTATTTTTTTAGACAGTTTTGATTGAAATTTCTGGTGGTTATTGCTACAAATGTCAGTCCTTTCATGGTAAACAGTTGTTCTCACTGTGAAAGTTAATAACTTATGTTTTCCTCATATCTACGAGGTGAAGGCAAGGGCTCTTGTGTCAGAAGTGATTTTGTCCTACATGTGAACAACCTGCCAATGTACAGGTATCCATGCCATGTGGACAAAATCTAGTTTGCATCAAGCAGTGTTTTACTTATGATGTTTGTAACTCAAAAAATTGGGTTGGTTAAACTGCATGGTAAACCTGTGATAAAGGTGAAGTGGTCACGGCTGATATTTCATAGGGTTATGTATTTAAACTCATTTTTGGGGAAAAGAACAACAGCCTTGGGTACTGAAAATCTATTTTTCTTTTTCATTTTGGAATTGATGCCAAAGGTGCAAATAGTTCATGTGAACTGGGGGATATAGAAATGTTATCAGTTAGGGATGCTGAAATGGTTCCAGGTTTTTGAGGTGTTTTTCAGTGAAACTACAGAATTACTTACAGAGGATGGTCTGTCAGTGTTGTGGTAGTTTGTTCTTATTTATTTAGAAACAGAAATACAGTATATACTGAGTAAGCCATGGTTTATTTTGTAACCAGTATGAGGAAATGTAAGCACATAAACAAGACTGTAATTGTAGAGACATGTTATAGTTGGATAAAAAGTAAATGCTTGATTGATTTGAATTAAATCTCTGTTTTTGTATGATGAAAAAAAATACTAGTCTTAAAAAATCAACGCTAGTCCATTTCAAGGTTGTATTTGTAGTGTACTTGTGACAAATTTTTAAGGACATGCTAGCTATTTCTTACCTATTGTATCTCTGGACTTTTACACAAGACTAACCCTTGCAATGGCAATGAGCAAGACGACAGAGTAAAACTCGTATTCACAAAGTCTGCCTATATTGTCCTAAGTTAACCTGTCACAAGTTAACTGTAAATGCACTGTGTTTCTTCTAAGTGAAAGAAAAAGCTTGTTAGTTTGATAGAGCCCAGCTGGTGTTTTACGCTGTACTCCAAGTGGGATCCAGTGTGTACTATCTACATTCCCAGGTAATGGGGCTCTTTATCGGGGAATTTATTGGTAATTGTTATTTAATATGCTGATTGAAAGCTGTATTTGATTGACAGGGAGCCCCCTGCTTCATGATTTATCTCCTGAAGGTAGTTCCTGTGGTAAGCTTTCATAATCTGATCCATCCTTCCCACATGGCTGGACAGATAGTAGTGCCTAAGACAGGGAACATCTTGGGTTCTGGCTCACTGTATGTCTCACTGCTGGTAGATTTGATGAGCTACTGTTCCTGATGTAACAGGAAGTCACAGGGGTAGAGCGTGCCCACTGCTAGTTGAGTTATGTGATCAGTACATTAGGCTGGGACAGAGAAACTTCAAAAGCCTGGGAAACTGTTGACTGGCTGAGTCATACTTTTACTGGAGCGATCATTATTACGGTTTTTATTTGTGAAACAAGTGCATTTGTTGCATCCAGGCTATAGCTTCTGGTCCTTTTTCTGACAGTATAGCAATTCATCCCTTGTATGGCGGANAGCTATAAATGCACTGTGATTCTTCTAAGTGAAAGAAAAAGCTTGTTAGTTTGATAGAGCCCAGCTGGTGTTTTACGCTGTACTCCAAGTGGGATCCAGTGTGTACTATCTACATTCCCAGGCAATGGGGCTCTTTATCAGGGAATTTATTGGTAATTGTTATTTAATATGCTGATTGAAAGTTGTATTTGATTGACAGGGAGCCCCCTGCTTCATGATTTATCTCCTGAAGGTAGTCCCTGTGGTAAGCTTTCATAATCTGATCCATCCTTCCCACATGGCTGGACTGATAGTAGTGCCTAAGACAGGGAACATCTTGGGTTCTGGCTCACTGTCTGTCTCACTGCTGGTAGATTTGATGAGCTACTGTTCCTTGATGTAACAGGAAGTCACAGGGGTAGAGCGTGCCCACTGCTAGTTGAGTTATGTGATCAGTACATTAGGCTGGGACAGAGAAACTTCAAAAGCCTGGGAAACTGTTGACTGGCTGAGTCATACTTTTACTGGAGCGATCATTATTACGGTTTTTATTTGTGAAACAAGTGCATTTGTTGCATACAGGCTATAGCTTCTGGTCCTTTTTCTGACAGTTTAGCAATTCATCCCTTGTATGGCGGATACTGTTTTATGATGATCAGGAAGAGTAGATGAATTGTTGATATATTGGAGCTGGCAGTTTGGGAATAATTTTGCTGTGGGGATTGTAGTAGTCAACAACTGCAACAATATCATGATTGTAAGTAGCATTTTCTTGTTAGCAGTCAGTATCAGTATGTTACTTTTCATGGCAGAAATGATCAACTCTGTTGATAATTGTTTTAATGCTTACCGCCAGGTAAACCATGGATATAACATTAGATAGTAAGCCTAAATCTCCCTTAATTATTTCACACCTGCCACATTTTGTTTGCTGATCAATTAGGAGAGTTTCCAATAGACCCAAGGTGAAATATTGGAGTGTTTTAGCCAGTGGAATAATTATTATTCCCAATATGTTAAAAGGCAAAAAATAAATATACCTAGGCTAGTGATGTCTATGTGAGAAGATCCTATATTTCAAATGTGAAATGTTTTATGTGATGGTGCTGTTAGGCTGTCTCTTGCCTAAGGCAAACTATGCAAGCAGTAGTGAATATGATAAGTAGGTTTCACTTGCGATTACGGATCTTTTCACTTTTTTATTAATAATAAAGAATGACTTCACCTTTTTTTCCTGAATAATAATCTAGGATGGTGAATCATTTGTGGCTACAGAAAGTAATCATGTTTTTACCATTAGTGGTTACATTAAATGTTCAGTTTTTTTTTAGTATGTATAACATTCATAAAACATTTGCATCTCTCATCATGTTCTTTCTCCATAAGTTAATGACTGTGGAAGATTAAGGAGTGTAGGTAAAACTGTGCATGTCAGCAGTCAACAGCGAAATCACGTGCATTCATTAACACTTTGCGCTGGAGGGAAGTGCAGAAAAAAAATAAACTGCGTAGTTTTGATCCCATCTTATCTACTCCAATAAAGCTTGAACTGCACTGGCTGCTGCATAAAGGAAATACCTTGTCATAGATATTACTAATTTGCTGCTTGACTTAAGGAATCCCATGTAATGAACACCTTCCCAGAAGAAACATGGGCTGCTCAAAGCTAACTTTAGAGACTGGCATTTTGAGAGGTCCACTTCTCGCCTACCTGTATGGCCCAAGGTGGTAAGGTCGGTTGCCTTCTCGGCCAATCAGATCTCTTGATTTTACTGGCATGAAACATTCTCACCTGCAATTAATATGAATCATCTTTGCCAGCTATTTTCTTATCTGCTTGGTGTGCTCCACTCTAACCTTTGTAAATACTGGCAGGAATGAGGAGGATACTTAGAAGAGGTATTTTTACCCTGCCTCATGTTTTTCATATTTTCTTCCTGCAAATCTCTAGTGGCTCATCTTCATATCATTGCCCCCTCCCCCCCCCCTTAAAAAAAAAGAAAAGAAAAACCAAAAAATGAAGCAACATTTTGTCAATGAATAAGTACCTGATATGAAAAAGAAGAAGAAATGTTTTGATTCCATTTCTTTTTTATTAAAGGACATTGAGAATAGGAGGACAGATGTTTGTATAAGCCGACCTTGGTTTTTATGGGAAGAAAATAATCAGTTTTGTACCAACCTAACCCATCTTATTTGAACAGATAACATCGCTTTAACTGGAACACTTGCAAGTTTCACACACAGCTCTTTTCTCCGGGGATAAATCAACTTATCTCAATTGACTTTCAAATGAAATATTAATTGATTGGCCAAATAGTTTTGTAATTGATAACCATATTATTGAGAATGAAGGATTGTTGTCTTAGTGAATGCAAATTGTATTAGATGTTACAATCAATATAAAAAGGCCATATGTTGGTTTTTGTGAACCCAAGGATCCCATTTTATAGCTGTAGACTTCTGCTGACCAGATGACTGAATATGGAGTTGTAAAAAAAAAAAAATGTTTGGTATCCTGATATTAGACATATATTGAAGGAGCAGTAGACATGGTTCTTGAAATATGCAAAGTAAGTGAACATGTGAAGCTAAGACATTTTTTTTTCCAAAAAGGCTTTAGGACAAATCCTGGGTCATGTTTGACATGTTTTTTTATTGTCCAGGTGACACTTTAGATGTAATGGAATACAAAATAAGACAGATGAGATTGGCTATGGATGGGAATAGATAGCAGGAAATTACACAAGATTATTTACAGTTTTATCCTCTTTTTGATTGGTCTTGATACTTAAGCACTAGGTACTGGTTCCTCTCATCCAACCAGTGGATAGGTGCTAACTATTGACTTCAGAGTTTATGAACAACAGAAAAATTAAGGAACTGTTATGTTCTAGTTATGACAAACTTCCTACTATACTGTATTAGACCCCATTCCCAGAGATTAGATCGATCTACTTTACATCGACCTAACTCCCTAGGGGCTCACGCTAAATAGCTGTCAGCCGAGCGGACACGAAAGTTAATTACCCCCTTACAGCTTGTAGTAGGCGGGACGGACATTTAAGCCGGATTATCTGACAGTAATCTAAGTGAGACTCCCCTTGGGGATAGAGCGATCCAAAGCTCTGGGAATATGCCCT